ATCTTTTTAATTGCTCATATAACAATGGGCCTGAACGGACTGTCAGAAACAATGCAGCATTGAGCCAAGACAGTTAAAGTGGTCTCAAGCTGGATTATTTCTGGCAGTCTGTTCAGGCCCTATGTTAGGTCTGGTGACACTGAGTAGGATCTTAACCCAAATAACAGATTACAACAGGGTCATTATAGGTCTAGGGGCCAGCTTTCTGGGATTCTCTGGAGCATGCTTGGATTACCAAGAACACTAGAAGGCTACCTATCCACTGGTGGTTTAAAAAAAGTATAGTATTTTACCATTAAGCAGTGCAGTGAGTCCTGCAGTCTATTTAAAACATGAATTTCCAGAACTTCCAAGGGACTAGAAAAGGGGGCAGTGCAGGGATTTTTAAGGGGTTGAGGGCTGCAAAAAACAGCTTTGAGGGCACATGTTGCCATAAGCAATACTCTTACTCTCTCTCTCACACACACTACAATGTAACTATGGGCCTATACAGACTACCAGAAATAATCCAGCTTGAGACCACTTTAACTGCCCTGACTCAGTGCTAGGGAATCATGGGAATTGTATTTTTTTTCTGAGACATTGAGCCTTCTCTGTCAGAGAGCTCTCTGGTGCCACAATAAACTACAGTTCCCATGATTCCTTAGCACTGAGCCAGGGCAGTTAAAGGGGTCTCAAACTGGATTATTTCTGGCGCTCTGTATAGGCCCTTAAGTCTACTTCCTCAGCTCTCTCCCTCAGCCAGGGGAAATTGACCTGGGTCCAAAACAAACTGCAGAAATAATCCAGTTTCAGACCGCTTTAACTTCCCTGACTCAGTGCTAGGGAATTCTGAGAACTGTAGTATTGTTGTGGCCCCAGAGCTCTCTGACAGAGATGGCTAAATGTCTCCCAAAACTACAGTTCCTAGAATGCCCTAACATTGAGCTAGGGCACTTACTTCTTCCCTGGCAATTTCTTTATAAAGCTTCCAATATGAACCCGGAAATTCCCAATCTCGAGTAAGAGAGGCATATCTACATTTTTCCTATCTCTGTGGAAGTCTCTACCACTTTTTTTTTTAAAAAAAGGGAATTGTGGGTAACCGGAAAGAGACAGAGTGGAGAGAGAAGGGATGCCTAGGTAACCAATCAGGAGCGCGTTCGGAAAGATGGCGGCGCTCGGGGGTCGAGGGAGCTCTGCCGGGGAGGGAGGCCGCAAGGAGAGCAGTAGCAGCAGCAACACCAGCGCGCGCGTGGACTCGGACCTGCTGCTCCATCCGGAGCTCCTCTCGCAGGAATTCTTGCTGCTGACGCTCGAGCAGGTGAGCGCGAGAGCGAGCGAGCGAGCGAGCGAGCGCGCGCCGGGGGAAAGAAAGGAGGCGCGCGCACCGTGGAAAGGGGCGTGGCCAGGGCCGCCTGAGGGGCTACCATTCT